TTTTTAAACTAGAAATATTATATGTTTTTAACACAAAATTATTATAAATAATAAATAGGTACTTCTATTTAAAAAATTTCAATAAGGAAAATTAATAAAAAAGTATAAAACTAAATTTATATTATATAAACGAAGAATTTTAAAGAATTTAATCAATGCGTCGTATTAACACTTTTTTGAAAAATCACTTATCGATATATCCGACACGTATCATGTTAGATACGTGTCCATGTTGGTGCATAATAGATGATAGTAATCACCTCCTCCAGAGAGGCAGGAAGGTACGTGCTAGTAAGGGGACTCGAACTCGTCTCACTGTCAGTTGTGTGATTCAGTCCCTTTGATAGCTTGACAGCCACAGGGTTTTTTGGGTATGTTTTCTGTGACTAATAATTAAAAGTTAAAACTGTTTCTTGACTGCAAAATGAGGCAACATGCATGATAGCAGTGATTATTATCTTAATTAATTGAACGGTGATGAACATTAGACAAAATAGACATGCTTTATATCAATGTTAGTATTGTTACTTAACTACTCCTGATTAAGTTACTAGTTACAATACTGTATCAGCTTATGCCCTTTTTTAACCTTTGTCTTTTTTATTTTTTCGTGGTGGGGGTGGGTTGTCAAAAGCTTTCTGGTCTATTTCAGCCCCATGATAAGCAAGTTGCAGAAGCTCTTTCATTTTTTTGATATTCATCTCAAAATTTCAACCGCTGGACGTCCTTTTCAAAATGCAGAAGCAGAAACTGACCCCTACAAAATTCCAACCAAGCACAACATGCGGATGGCATTATATTGGCTTGTACAAGGATGTCAACCAGGAGATTCCCTGGTGTTCCATTATTCTGGTCATGGTTCACGGCAGAGGAACTACAATGGAGATGAAGTTGATGGATATGATGAAACCCTATGTCCCCTGGACTTCGAGACACAGGGTATGATTGTTGATGACGAAATCAATGCATCTATCGTCAGACCTCTACCTCATGGTGTTAGGCTTCATGCTATAATAGACGCCTGCCATAGCGGAACTGTTCTAGACTTACCATTTCTTTGTAGGATGGACAGGTAAACTTCAAACCCTTTATTGATGGTATAAAGTTTAGCACCTCGTAATCTGTTTCTTGTAATTGAAGGAATGTTTTTGTTTTCTGGGTAATTTATAGCTAACACGGACATCTCATAGCAGCTTTCAATATTAGAAGAATGGAGGGTTCATAATGTCTTTTCCATACCTTTGGATGCCATCTGCAAATAACATTGAGAAAAAGTATTTGTTAACTATGTTTGTCTCTTAATGAAGGGTATTTATGAGCCATTTTTTAATTACAATTTTTGAAGCTATTTCAAAAGCACCCGCTTGCAGATATTTCCTACATAAAATTGAAGTTACAAGTTGGTTTGTCACCTTAGTCATCAAAATAGAAGAAAAAGAGCAATGCTAAGCCAGAACATTGTGAATTCGACTCTACACCTAGTCTCCAAAAACCTAACCTTAAAACTGCCATGTATTGTCATGGCATACTAGGGCAACCATCTTGTTTTCCCTTTGTGCTGGTAATTAGAATGCTACTAATATAAGTATACTTTTTTAAGTTCTGCAGATAAATTGCATTTATTATTGCACATTTTCAACTCTATCAACACGATGAACATAAAGAAAATGGTGATTTTTGTAGCCAGATCCACTCTGGAAAACTCAACGACTAATCAAATGC